TTTACCAAACCGAAGATGCTTCCTGGGCAAAACGTATCCTTAGTAAATATTTTTTATACTCACATTCTAGAGTTCGTGTTTGTGTCAGTTCACCTGTTCTGTGTGTCTGTCTCTCTGCCATTCTCTCTCAAATCAGATATAACACCTTCCACCACGACTCACCCAGTCTCTTAGGACATCACCTCGTACCGTTCCCTCTACCCCCTAACCTCATTACCCAATCCAATAACCCTTGCCTCTAGCCCCTCAGTGGCACCATTAGACCATGGGGACTACGTAACTGGCTAGGTAGCTGCGAGGATAGCTGGAAGGGTAGGTAGGCTAGCTGGATGGTCCGCTATAAGTAACTGGGCTCGTGCCTCAAGGGTAAACAACGTTCCAGGAGTCTATACTCCCAGCGCCTGTATAAGTTGAACAGGATTGAAGGAGGATCCAGGTCGACTTAAACCCGTTCCTGGTTTGTTTTAAAAAAAAAAGGCACTATCGATGCTCTGTTGTTCATGGCTGCTTCTAGGCTCATGAGCTGTTGTTTTCCTGTTGAATTTACTGTCTTATACTGTTGTTTACTGACGTTTTACTATTGTTTACTGTCGTTTTGCTATTGTTTACAGTTGTCTATTGTAGTTTTACTGTTTGGTTTATGGAAATCGCTAAATGCCTTCGGGTCATTCAACGCTGGTAGACTGGTAGATGATGCATACACTCACACACACACACACACACACACACACACACACACACACACCACACACACACACACACACACACACAGCTAGGAGCTATGAATCAGCCCCTGCAACCACAATTAGGTGAGTACACTAAAAGCTTATACCAGCAGACGAGACAGTCAAAACGTCAGAGATACTCAAAGGTCATGCAAGACTGGCGGTAGAGAGGCAAAGGAGTTTGAGCAATTGTCAGTGTGTTTACGAGAGTCGAACCATAGCTCCTGGTCCTGCCACTTTAACCATGTTGATATAGGATTACTGATTATTGATCTTTCCTACCATACCTTTTCTTGAAGCTGTGTATGGATATTGCCTGGGTCACTTCTTGATCCACTTAAATCAGGGCAAGGGAACACAGCTGGAAGTTGTAGTAGTAGTAGTCGTAGCAGTAGTGGTGGTAGTAGTAGTAGTAGTAGTAGTAGTAGTAGTAGTGGTAGTACTCTAGTAGTAGTAATTAGCTATGGTAGTGGCAATGGTAGTAGTAGAAATGGAAGTAGTAGTTATAGTAGTAGTAGTAGCAGTAATAGTAGTAGTAGTACAGAGCCTGGAGAACGGCAGATGATCAGGTTTGATCCAAGGAAAGAGAGTGGATAGTTCCAATCCTTCAACAGCATCACGTAAAGACAATACTCCGGGTCAACTGCAAAAACAGCATCAAAATTGAGAAAACCCGTATGAACCATGCCCCTCTTTTTCTCAAGTCACTAGACTCAAGGAGCGCAGTCAGGAGCCATTTTATTTGAAATTTTTCTTAATTTTTATTATTAAATGATAATGATTATGATTACTTTGTAAACGGGTGGACAAATCTTACCTTAGTTTTATGTACGATTTATACACGTGTATGATTATCAGTATAGATATACACTTGTGTATATCAAAGTATTCTTGGCTGGTGGTATACAGGTGAGGTGCAGCCTTAATGACCCTCGTGTAGTAGATAGGCTTTAAACTCCCATTAATCAGATAGTTTAAGCGCTAAACCCACATTAGTTATTTTTTTCACTTACCCAGATTTTAGAACAAATAAAAGTCTATTTTGCTAACCTGTTTTATTGTGCATTTGTGAAGCATTTTAGAAGACGAGGATGACACCTGGTGGATGGCACCTGGTGGATGGCACCTGGTGGATGACACCTGGTGGATGACACCTGGTGGATGACACCTGGTGGATGACACCTGGTGGATGGCACCTGGTGGATGACACCTGGTGGATGGCACCTGGTGGATGGCACCTGGTGGATGACACCTGGTGGATGGCACCTGGTGGATGACACCTGGTGGATGGCACCTGGTGGATGGCACCTGGTGGATGACACCTGGTGGATGACACCTGGTGGATGGCACCTGGTGGATGGCACCTGGTGGATGACACCTGGTGGATGACACCTGGTGGATGGCACCTGGTGGATGACACCTGGTGGATGACACCTGGTGGATGACACCTGGTGGATGGCACCTGGTGGATGGCACCTGGTGGATGACACCTGGTGGATGACACCTGGTGGATGGTACTATAAATCCGTTCAAATCCTCTGACAGATCACCCTTTCACATTTACGTAAATTTGCCCTGTTACCTATTTCTCTTTCCTAGCAATGTTTACTAAAACCACCTCTTTCCTAGCACTCTTTTCTATCATCAATATCTCACTAGCATTATTTTCTCAACACTATTTTCTTACATGTTCTGCTTCCTAGATCCTCCGTTTCCTTGCACTCCTCTGTTGCCTGTCGTCTCCCTGCTTCCTATCTACCGTTTCCTAGCGTTTTGTTTACAAGCTTCCTATTTCCTACCTTCCTGTTTACTAGCTTTCTGTTTACTAGCCTCCCGTTTTCTAACTTCCTGTTTCCGCAATGGCTCGACACACACAACAAAATTCAACAGTGGGTCGACATTCAAGATCTTTCCACAGTGGGGCAACCATCAGAACTTTTCACTCCACAGTGGGTTAACAATCTGAACCTTTCTTTCCACAGTGGGAAGAGAGTATTTCTTTTTCTCAGTAGGAAGATTTAAGACACTTCGTAGTAGATCACGTAGTGAACAATCTCCTATGTTGAGAGAACTTTCTGTTATACTGTCATCGCCTCAGTCTTCAGCAGATAGTCCTTAGCAGACAGCCTCGGTGGAGATAGGCGATAGTCCTCAACAGATAGCCTCTATGTGCGCTGTCTAGTCCTTTGATGTCTGTCGTATTTACACTGTCAGAAGTGAGGTGAAGCGACAATCCTGTCTAAGTTAATATATTTTCTACTGTCAGCGGCTGATATCTACAGAGAATGTCAGCAGAGAGCAAAAGAACACGTCCCTCGCTGACCTACGTCAGCAGGTGAATGAGAAAATTTAAGGAGCCAGTACCAGCATAAAAAAATCATCCCGATATTTACTAACTGGAAACTGAGCGGAGTGTTGCCACCATCTTTTTTCTTTTTATCTAATCATAATTAATAGCCATTTTTAATCCAATTTTTAACTTCAAAATTTACTTCTAACTTTCTAAATTTATTCAAAACTTTAAGAGCATGCATAAATCGCTCATAATATTTGTCAATAATGCTTTAAATCGCCTGAAAATTATATCGATGTTTACTAATTAAAAACTTTTCATGGAGTGTTGACATTTTATTTTTTTACCAATTATATCATTATTATCATCTTCAGTCGTTTCTAAACCTCTATTTTATCTCTGATCATATAAATCATGTTTAAACCTCAAGAACATGTCCAAATCTCTTATTACATATCGTATCAATGTCTAAACTCGACTGAAATTTATGCAAACAACAACTAACTGACAACTCCTGGTCAAGTGTTGCCGTCTTGCTCTTCAGTTTTTTTTTATCTTCGTAGGAGGAATATCTTTGTACTCACCTATGTGTGGTTGAAGGGGTCGATTCACAGCTCCTTTGCAAAAGCTTTCGACAAATGTGACCATGGTGTAATAGCGCACAAAATGCGTGATAAAGAAATAACGGGAGAAGCTGGTAGATGGATCTACAACTTCCTGATAAATAGAACACAAAGAGTAATAGTAAACAGAGTAAAGTCTGAGGCAGCCATGGTGAAAAACTGTTCCACAAGGCACAGTACTCGCTCCCATTCTATTCCTCATCCTCATTTCTGACATAAAGATGAAGCCATAGTTCCGTGTCTTCCTTTGCAGATGACACCCGGATTACCATGACAGTGACCTCCATCGAAGACACTGCGAGACTCCAAGCGGACATCAACCAAATCTTCAAATGGGCCACTCAAAACAATATGAAGTTCAACGAGGAGAAATTTCAACTACTCAGATATGGAAAACTTGAAGAAATTAAAAATGTGTCAGGGTATACCACAAATTCTAACCATACAATAGAGTGGAAAAGTAATGTGAAGGACCTGGGAGTGTTAATGTCAGACGATCTCGCCTTCAAAGACCACAACAATGTATCTACCTCATCTGCTAGGAAAATGATAAGATGGATAATGAGAACCTTGAAGGCTAGGGACGCCAAGCCAATGATGATTCTCTTCAAATCGCTTGTGCTATCTAGGCTGGAATACTGCTGTACACTAACGGCCCCCTTCAAGGCTGGCGACATTGCAAACCTAGAGAGTGTACAAAGAACTTTCATGGTACACATAAGTACGATAAGGCACCTAAACTACTGGGAACGGTTGAAGGTCCTTGATCTGTATTCCCTTGAGCGCAGGCGAGAGAGATACATGATAATATACACTTAGAAGGTCTTGGAGGGATTGGTACCAAATCTGCACACGAAAATCACTCCCTATGAAAGCAAAAGACTCGGCAGGAGATGCAACATCCCCCCGATGAAAAGCAGAGGCGCCACGAGTACACTGAGAGACAACACAATAAGTGCCCGGGGCCCAAGACTGTTCAACTGCCTCCCAGCATACATAAGGGGGATCACCAATAGACCCCTGACTGTCTTCAAGAAGGCGCTGGACAAGCACCTAAAGTCAGTACCTGACCAACCGGGCTGTGGTTCGTACGTCAGCTTGCGTGCGGCCAGCAGTAACAGCCTGGTTGATCAGACCCTGATCCACCATGAGGCCTGGTCTCAGACCGGGCCGCGGGGGCGCTGACCCCCAAAACCCTCCCCAGGTAAACTTCAGGAGTGTTGGTTAACTGGTTTCATTGCAGTGATAAGTGCCTCTCCCAGTACATTATAAAACGCTATAATAATCATCATTATTATTTCATCATTCTCCCCTCCCCCCCCCCCCCCCAAAAAGGAAAACGATTTTTTTTGGGTACAGTATTTAATTTTTTTTTTTTGGTACAGTATTTAATGCCCTCTTTTCTTACTTTACTAAGTATTTCATTTCGAGTAAATGTGATATCAATGACAGCAGAGAGTACAATATACGGTGTAAAAGTTGAGTACCAATACACAAATATCCCTCACATAGGACAGAGAAGCTTATCATGACGTTTGGGTCCGACTTGGATCATTTACAAGACGACTTGTAAATGGTCCAAGTCGAACCCAAACTTCGTGGTAAGCTCCTCTCTTCTATGTGCGGGTTATTTGTGTATCGTTCCAGTCACGGTATTGTGCCTTTTGTTCTTTGGTACCAAGTGTTCATTGTCTCCATAATGTGCTCCTGAGAGTGTCTAGACAAGTGTGTAGCCTCGTCTGTGTGAAAAGACTTTATTGCTGCAAATGGCCTATATTTAAATGATGTTTTGATTTAATAATGAAAGTGGTGACAGCCTTAGGTGGGTGCACTTGGTGAAGTGATACGTGGAGCACTTGGTGATGTGACAGGTGACTCACGAGGTACTCTGGGTCACTGCTTGGTGCCTAGACCTAGAGGTGTGAGACCTGCGGGTGTGACCAAGAATATTAGTGTTAAAATGCTGGGTTGCACTGAACTTGCAGCATTAGTCTTACGCTGAATTCTTAAAAGTTCCTATAAGACGCTAGCTTCTCTCGTAGGGGAGCTTGAAAGACCCTGTGGTGTTGCCTTGAAGGGTCCTTGAAGATGCTGGTGCTGTCTTGGAGGTCCCCTTGGAGACGCAGGTGTTTTCTTGGAGGTCACTTAAGAACACAGGTGTTGATCTCCCGTTCACAGGTGACAGGTTTGCCCTCCATAACGAGGCCAGCGACCTCATCTACCAGTTGACCTGACCTCTCAGTGCCCAGCATGTGTGCAACACCAACTCTGTAAATACAAACATTCTCAGAAATTTATTTCCAATAATAATAATAAAATTAATTATAATGTCATTGATGGAGAGTATATCGATACCTAAATTACAATATAAGATTGTAACCATAAAAATGCTTTTCTAAGCCAGAACTTCACTTACAAAGCCAGGTCCTTTCCTACATTGTGTCTTGTGAACCCGGGTGCTACAATCGACCTGAAGAGTGAACACCTGACACAGCCGAAGTCATTTTGGTGTTCCCTCCAGAGGGAGTTGATCCCGTGGATCAGGTCGTCAGAGTCGTCCATGGTGGTGGGAGACGACCTTCTATGCCTGTATTTATCGTCTGCGTTGTCAAGAACGGTGTAGAGGGTGCTGAAGGTGTCTATCATGTCAGTGTCGAAGTTCTCAGGAAGGCTGCGAGCTTTGGTGGTACTGATGGAAGCCATAACCTTGAAGACCAAGAGAGACAACAGAGCCGCTGCCCCGAGGCTGCCCAAGACCAGGTATGGGTCCATGTAAACACCATAGTTATAGCTGGTTCCATAGGGATTTTGGGCGCCATAACCTACACCACTGTCATAGCCACCATGCCCTGCCCTATTGGCATTGTAGCCACTGTTTGTGCCATAGAGTTGCGTGCCTACTAAAAACCTACCTCCGGAGCTTACTTGAGACTTAAGTGGCATGTTGAGTATTAGGTCCAGTCCTGCCTTGGCCGCAGGAAAGCTTAAAGCAAGGTAGTCCTTGTAGTCCTTGAGGTCCTCCTCTGTGAAGTACCGTCTGGTAACGCCCAACACATGGGTAGTGAACTCGCGAATGCTCTTCAGTGCTATGGTCCTTACAAGCCTCTTGAAGAAAGAAGTTCCTCCTTCCTGAAGACCCGTACTGGCACTGAGGTTCACCAGCATTGGTTTCAGTTGATGGATTACATGCTCGGTCAGCCCCGGGTCCACTCTCTTGCTAAGGATGTGGAGGAAGTTCACTCCGTCTCCGAAGTTGACCATATTCTTGATCAGATCAAGAGGCAGCTTCTCCTGCAGGTCCTGCCTCTCGTATTCTCGACTTAGTAGTGTTATGTAGCTGAGAGCCATTGATTTGAGTTGTTGCCAAGCGTTTTCTCTAAGGCCTTTCAAGAAGCGAAGCAAAGGTGACGGTTTCTGGCCATCGACATAGCCTGACGGCTCAACTGACGTCGAGGTAGAGCCACTAAGGCCTGAGGACATCGAGGTAGAGCCACCAAGGCCTGAGGACATCGAGATCGAACTGTCAAACCCTAACTTCACAATGTCTTCAACCAGTGCTTCTTCTTCCTGTTCTTTAGCCTTCTGCTTCTCAAGACTCCTCAGTCCAAGGTCAAACAGACTCTCCAGGACGCTACCCACGGCGCCCTCTGCAGGATGATGAACCAGAGGGACGCCATCTGAACGTCTACTGCCGGCGTCTCCAGCATACTGGTCACCCACCAAAGACCCTGAAGCAAAACTTTCGGTTCTTCCGCCTTCAAGAGCTCCTCGCTCGCCCCTCGGGGGATTCACAGACCCTGGGGAGTTGGAGATCTGGGCCTCGCTTCTCACAGTCATCGTCAGCACCCACGCCAAACATAGCAACATCGTCTGCAAGTATGTTTAAGATACTGCAGTTAAATGTGGGGAAGAGTAGTAATAATGGTAACTAATAGTAGCAGTGAATAACAGGAAGCGATAGTAGCAGTAATAATTAAAATAACGGCAGCACAGGTAGCCTTACCATGATCCCCTACTTATCCTCCAGCCTCCGCAAAGCACCACTAGCTTGTTCAAACACTCACACGGCCGTGTTTGACGCAGCTGAACACAATACTTCCAGGCACGCTCTATACAGTTACTAACAGTTAGCTTAAGCAGTTAGTGTTGACTCAACCACTCCCTACTGCGCACCATGACACTGTGAATGCTATGACTCTCTTATCGTTCCCATGGTAGTGCACTTACTGTACATTTATTTATTTATTTATTTATTTGAACATGATACAGAGAAGTTCAAAGGAATACAGTTATTACAGTGCAACATGCCAGAGCCCCTTGTATGCTGAGCATTATGGGCAGCTTAAAATTAACTTAAGATTAACTAAGCAATGATGTATTCAGTGGTAAAAACATTATTGTAAACAGATAACAATTTAGCACAAATGAGTATTACAAAACAGGTCTTATGGTTATTTACTGTGTTACTGTGTATTCAGTAGAATGGAGTATTCTGTTAGGTAATGTAATTAAAAAATAACAAAGTTTGATTGGGTCACAGGTTAGACATTTATGAGATACAATAATGAGAAACATTTATGAGGTACAATTTATGAGATGCAATTATTCAGTATTTATCTAGTGGTGGGTAAGTGATTTTTGAGAAGAGACTTGAATTTATAAACAGACAGTGTTTCTTTTATATTCACAGGTAATGAATTCCAGATTTTAGGGCCTTTTATGTGCATTGAGTTTTTGCATAGTGTGAGATGGACACGAGGAACATCAAAGAGTGATCTGTGCCTTGTGTTATGGTCATGTGTTCTCTTGAGGTTGGTAAGATGTTTGAGGGGAGGGTTTATATCAGAGTTAAGTGTTCTATGTATGTAATAGGTGCAGTAATAAGTATGGATGTTTTGTATGGTGAGTAGGTTTAGAGTTTTGAATATTGGTGGAGTGTGCTGCCTGTAGTGGGAATTTATCATTCTGACTGCAGCCTTTTGAATATCGTAGAGTCACTTCATATAGTTTAGGCATATATAACTTAGTATGTATAATTGTTATACGCCGAGAGGTGTGTGTATATACTTACCTCTCAATGTATATACACTGAGAAGTACGTAAGTATATTTAGGTACAGGTCCACACAAGTACAATTATCATACATATTAACACTTGAGAGGTGCGTATAAACAGATGTGTATTTCCCAGTATATGTACACCGAGAGGAGTGTATCTCCCGGTGTATATACACGGACAATTCACTTTTTTTTTTATTCGTCGGTACTCTCCCGGCCCGGGTCATTTCCAAGAGTGGTGACCCGGCCTTGGCTCCCTATCTGGGGAGTGTCTCGAGACCTAAGTCTCCCATGGGAGGAGGTACAAGTACCCCCTCATCTTTGGGACCAAGTGTCCCCAGGCCTAGCCACATTCCCCGCCATCAAGGGGCTCGTAGGAGAAGCTAGGCCTCTCTTGTCTGCCATCTGCCTCGCCCCAAAGGGGCTCGTGAGGATGGCAGTCTTGTGAGCTGCAGGTGGTAGCAAGCTCTGGCCATTATTTAAAGGACAATTCACTTTCAGCTCTCTTTAGGGATAAAAGTTTTCTTGTCTGTGATAAAGAAATGATATTCGTATAGTAGATAGATTTGAAACCAAATAAATCAACTACCAAAATAATAATCACAATGACTCACGAAATCGTAATGACACGATTGCAAACAAACCATACCACGGGCGGGATTTGAGACTGACCGCGGGTTCAAATCCCTCCGGTGGTATGGTTTAATAATCACAATAATAATAATCATCTTTATTTCTACAAGTGCATAATAATAATAATAATAATAATAATAATAATAATAATAATAATAATAATAATAATAATAATAATAATAATAATAATTACACAATAGCTTTGTACAAACCTTACACATGTTGAATCGAAGTCAGCAGGAGAAACACAATCAGTCTACTGTCAGCAGTAAAATTAACCCCTTAATTTTTTTTTCAAGCAGGTAAGGGGTAACTAATCTATTTTTTCAAATATCTTTTGATTTTTCACTGTCGAGAGATGAACTCACTTTTAAACAAATCTCTAAAATCAACTAGGAGCTAGCATTCACACAGCGAGATATTCAGAGCTAAGGCAGTATATATACCAAGAAGTGGCGTATAGGATTTCTTGAAGAGGTATATATGGTTTACACAGGAGTCAGTGGAGGACCCAAGCATCTAGCCTGCAGGACGCCAGCGCTGTTACTGAGAGAAGAGACTCTGGGGGGGGAGGGGTCTAGGGCCATTGAGAAGGGAGGGGGATGAATAGGGGTGAGGGAAATCCCCTCCCCCTGTCTAGTCATACTTCGGATCCTTCGACTCTAAACTGAAATAGCCCGGGTTCAATCCTGGGAGAGCGAGATATATGGGCAAGTTGCTGTGCACACACCACCACCACACCACCACCACTATCACCACCACCACCACTATCACCACCACCACCACTATCACCACCACCACCACTATCACCACCACCCCACCACCACCACCACCACACACCACACCACCACCACACCACCACCACACCACCACCACACCACCACCACCACCACCACCACCACCTCCACCACCACCACCACCACTATCACCACCACCACCACTATCAACACCACCACCACTATCACCACAACCACCACACTATCAACACCACCACCACTATCACCACCACCACCACTATCACCACCACCACCACTATCACCACCACCACCACTATCACCACCACCACCACCACCACCACCACTATCACCACCACCA